GCAGTTAGTTTCCTGCATTTCCTGCATTTAATTGGAGTACATTTTTAGATTTAAAAGAATACACCAATCGAACGCAAGATTTCACTAACTACGGTTGTTACTAAATCGGTTTAGCGTCGCCGTGTAAACGTAGTAATAGATTTGTGCATAATGTATAACGCATAAGCGAAAATGACTAATCAAAATCTTTCATTTCCACTCCCAATACAGAAATGGAGAACTCTGATTGGTTTATTTCTTTTGTATCATGCATTAGGGTGAGGTCCAATCAGACACATTGCCGATTGGTCGATTAAATAAAAAATTTTTAATAGGTGGCTCACTAGAAAATTCCTAGGCATCGACTGATGTGAGTGGTGTGTCCGATTGAAATTGTGCGCATCTGGGATGCTCCCAGTTGAACCAGTGGAAAATCTCCAAGTATTAGTCGCTGTAAGTCGTGTCCAATTGCAACGTATTAAACGAGACGCTCCCTATGTTACACAAAAGCTGTATTTCCTAATAACGTTTCTTCGTAACATCCATTGGTCTGAAATTGACAATTAATACATCAACTAATATCTAATTTCAAAAAATAAGCTTTTCCATTCAAACTTCTAAGAAGAAAAACGAAAATAACTTTTCTTAATATTTATACTATTTTATACTTGTACTATTTTCTTAACACTGCATTCTTTCCCGATGAACAAAATGTCAAATGATGTTAATTTACTAATGTCAATTTTCTAATGTTAATAAAATCATTGAAATGTTATTGTTACTTTAATTATTGAGTTACTATCATTAAACTTGTTCCATATCGAATATTTTGATATGAAACAAACATGAAATAAACTAATAATTAATGCTCATATAAAACAAACATCTTTCTTCCAAACATAACAGCTATAATTAAAATAAAACTTTATTACAAGAATTTTATTGTATACAAAAAAAGTACATTGTATACAGAAAAAGTTTAAGTACATTATACAGAAAAAGTTTATTGTATAATATAAAATTATATAAGAATTTATTGATTGTTATCTTTCATATATTCCCAATCCCATCGTTGCTTCCCTTTGAGGAAAGTTTCCATACGCGGTTCGATATCGATATTTAAATAATTATATATATTCTCATCTTTTAATGGTATCCATTTAATAGAAGACAAATTCGTAGGAGTGGGATTCCTATAACACACACATACACACATATATATATATATATATATATATATATATATATATATAAATCAGATTAATTATTAATGTGCCACACATTTATTATTTATATAACATGCGAATGAAGACATTAAATTCAAAATTTCATTAATTCATTCAAGTTGATACCCTGTTTTAGCAAAATCTGTCCATAGCTGTGTTAAGTAATTCATCATTTTATAATCCTTTGAATCAGGATTAGTTATTGGTAGTTCCAAATTTTTCAATATGTGAGGGTAAAATAAGTAACCCAATTCTTCGAAATGTGTTACACCTACAAGATATATTTTCATATATGAGAATAAATTATTTTTATAAAATGCAGAATAACAATTTTCGTCAGTGCAACCTTCACGCGATGTACCCTAATGTCAATGCCAGTACTGTAACTTTAAAATCTCATAACCTGAGATGTACTTAAGAAAATATTTTATTGCAGTATTTTGAGAAATTCTTGAAATAAACTATAAAAGAATATGTAATGAAAAATAAAAGATGTCATTTAAAAAATTCAACTTGATCTTTATATGACCTTACAGACTCCACCTAAAGT